TCTCACTATGTAGAGCATACTCATAGTGATTCTTTTGTTTTCGGCCTCCCAAGTGCTAGGATTACAGGCACACACCACCACATCCAGTCTCAGTGTGCCCCAGGGGTGGGGCCAGCATGGCATGCCAGGGATTGAATCCTGGTCCCTGTGTCTGCTATCCCCTGAGCTATCTGGCCAGCTCTTATTCTTAATTTTTGAATTTGTTAAATTAAAAAAATGTTGGAGGCCGGGGAGATGGCTCAGTAGAATAAGTGCTTCCCTGGCAAGTGCAAGGGGCTGAGTTCAATCCCCGGTTCTACAAAAAAAAAAAAAAAAAAAAAAGTTTTCTTAGCAAGTTCCTACTACACACCCTACTTGGGGACATGTAGGGAATTTTTATTCTTAGGAAATTTGTACTTAAACGTATAAAAATAAAGCAAATACTGCAAACTGTTATCAAGTATGGAATCTAGGAAGAGAATATTCAGGTTTTTCATTTTCTCTAATGTTTCCAGTTTTCTGTGTAAATTAAAACACTTAAGACAAATGTGCTTGTACACACCTGTAAGTCTAGTGCTTTGGGAAGCTGAGGCCGGAGGATCATAAATTTGAGCCCTGCCTGGACAATTCAGCAACTTAGCCAGAGCCTATCTCAAAATAAAAATCATATTTAAAAAGTACGAAGGTTGTAGCTCAGTGCAAAGGCCTGGGTTCAATCTCTAGTACACCAAAATTAATTAATCAATTAAAAACAATTTTAAAAGCTGGACATGGTAGCACACACCTGTAATTCCAGCATGCAGGGGGATTGTTGTGAGTTTGAGACCAGCCTGAGCTACAAAGTGAGTTCAAGGCCAGACTTAACTGCATGTGAAACCCTGTCTCAAAAAGACAAAAAAAAAAAGTTCCAGGCCAGCTTGAGCTACACAGTGAGACTCTGTCTCAAACAAAACAAAAATATACATCAGGGAGAAAAGATAGTAAAGTATTCCTTTAGTCCTATTGACTGCTTATAGCCACTTCTGATGTCTCTGCCCAAGAGATGGATATAATAGTCTAACCTGAACACTGAAGTCTTTTTTGGTTGGGTTCGGGTGGCATCGCAGATTGAACCCAGGGCCTTAAGAATATTAATCTTGTACTTTACCACTGAGCTACACCCTGTACAATCCTGAAGTTTTGACAGATATTCAGGGGGCTTCTCTCTTCCTTGCAATGAGGGTAAAAGGTAGATGACCTATAAAGACATAAAAGATCCCTATGGAGACAGAGAAGGTATGGAAATACCAATTGTTAGGTGAATAATTAAAAGGTCAAAGAGTTCTAATGGTGTTTGTAAATAGGATCACAAGTCCGCATCTTGTACAGCAATTAATCACTAAGAAGAATATATGCAGTGTATTATTTGTTGAAACTGTCCTTCTGATATGATTTGAAACTGTCTCATTGCTATCTGTTTGTCAATAAAACTTTGGAAAAAAAAAAAAAAAGGTCAAAGAGGAAAACAATGCAGGTACAAATAATCAAGACCTCTCAAACCAAGTATTGGCAACATGGAACCCGACAAATCTAGACACAGCTTCCTTGCTGAGAGATTAGTGATGATGAGAATGACCCAGACAAACGAAACCCTGCAGGGAAGCTGCATGAGACAGAAGTGCACAAAAATAGTAGGGGGAAAAAACCATTAAAAATCAGTTAGGGGGGCCAGGGAGATGACTCGGGGACTGGGGAGATGGCTCAGTAGAATAAGCGCTTCCCTGGGCAGCGCAAGAGCCTGAGATCAATCCCCGGTTCCACAAATCAGGGCTGGCCAGATAGCTCAGCGGATTAAAGCACTTGCTTAGGCAGATACAGGGACTGGGGTTCGATTCCTGATGTGCCATGACACCCCCGCCCCCTGGGGCACACTGAGATGGCAATTGAGAGTGAGCATGGTGAGACCCTGTAGACTCTGTACTAAATACATTTAAAAAAAAAAAATCAGCTAACTAGGACCAGCAAGATAGCTCAGCAGACTAAGTGCCTGCTCAGGCAAGCACAGGGACCAGGGTTCGATACTTGGCACCACATGCCTATAATCCCAGTGCTGGGGAGGGTGAAAACAGGAGGATCACTGTAAGTCTGAGCTGCGTAGTGGGACCCTGCACCAAATACATAAAAAAAATAAAAATAAAAGTAAATCAGCTAACTAGTCAGGTATGGCAGCCAACACCTGTAATCCCAGCACCCTGGGAAGCTGAAGCAAGAGAACTGCAAATTCAAGCCCAGCCTGAGGCAACACAGTGACTTAGCCAGGTCTCAAAATTTTAAAAAGAAATTTTTAAAGGGCTGGGAACTAGCTCAGTAATGGCCTAGGTTCAATCCCCAACACCACAAAAACAAGACCCAACATATAAACCAAAAACTAAAGCCAACCAAACAAACAAACAAAATAATCCAGCAAAGTACCTGCCTGACAAGCACAAGGCCCTGAATGATCCCTGGTACCAAAATAAAAAGAAAGAAAGAAAGAAATCCAGCAAACATAATCACCTTTATGGAATGCCACTTACTTTGTTACTCCTACCTCTTAATGTGCTCATTGTCTCTTCTCTTGTCACTTTGAAGCCTGTCATTTTTCAGGATCCTCTCTCAGACTTTCTGCTCATTTCCACCTGCATCTTCTTCACAGCCCTGTTCTCATTCTGGTTGTCCTCACTAGGCATTCTTCTCCATCTGGTACATCCAATCGTGTTCAGAAGAAATTCTTCTAGTCCATCTGGTTTATCTCTCAAATAGCTTTTGAAGAACCCAATATCCAATTTTCCTTTACCCATCAACTCATTACCCACTTTTGTCTGTCTTCTCAAAATGCTCCCATTTTTCCATCATTCTTCTTGACTTCCCGTGGTAATAGCCCCATTTAATGCCCAGTAACTGTCTTAATTCCCACTCTTCTTGGGTCAGACTCTCCTTTCCTCTCTCATTTTTACCCTTTTGACATCAGTAATGTAGTGCTTGACTGTAACTTTTCCTCTTTTACTTTCATAACTGTCTCAGCTTCAATCCTTCAACTGCCTCATTCACTGGGCTCCTCATCTAGTTCTTCTAGCTCATTCAGCATGTCCTTCTTGCCCACAGAAGCAGATTCACCATCAGGCAAGGTATCCTCATCAGCTTCCGCCTTTTCCTCAATCTCTTCTAGCTTTTCATCTGTCTCTCCCACACTTTCAAAAGGAATTTCCATCTCCTCATTGGTAACTTCAATCACTTTTTCATCACTAGTAGCTTCTTTCATGTTTTCAATGTTCTCTTCACTTACACTTTCCATTCTTGAACCTTCCTCCAAATTCTCTGCGCTAGATTCCTGCTCCTCCATTTTATCACCAGTTCTCAAATTTTCTCTGTTGAGCCTTAATTTCTCTCGATGCATCTTTGATTTCTCTGCACTGGATTTCCGCCTGTCTCCCCTTAACACTGGCTTGTCAAAAGTGGACCCCCGCCTCTCTGTCCTGAATATTGGCTTTTCAAAAGTTGACCCCCGCCTCTCTGTCCTGAATATTGGTTTATCAAAAGTGGACCCCCGCCTCTCTGTCCTGAATACTGGCTTCTCTACAATTGATGCCCGTCTCTCTCCTACATGCACCGGCTTCTCCAAAGTGGACCCCCGCCTCTCTGCCCTAAATATGGGCTTCTCTAAAGTGGACCCCCGCCTCTCTGCCCTGAATATGGGCTTCTCTAAAGTGGACCCCCGCCTCTCTGCCCTGAACATAGGCTTCTCTACAGTGGACCGACGCCTCTCTCTAATGGGCCGCTTCTCTACATTGGGCCTCCGCTTCTCTCTTTTGGACTCCAGACTCTCTTCACTGGACCTCTGCTCCTCATCCTGTCCCAGTTGATCCCCTCTGGATCTCATATCCTCTCCACTGGTCCCCACCTTGTCCTCTGTAGAACCCCTCTCTTCAGATGAAGACCCCCTCCTAGACTCTGCTGCCAACTCCAACTTCTCTTCAGATGAAGACTCCCTCCCGGACTCTTCTGCCACCTCCAACCTCTCTTCAGATGCAGACCCCCTCCTGGACTCCTCTGCCACCTCCAACCTCTCTTCAGATGCAGACCCTCTCCTGGACTCTGTTGTCACCTCCAACTCCTCTTCAGACACAGATTCCTCCCTAGATTCTTCTACCACCTCTGCACCAGCTTCAGCCCCAGTTTCCTCTCTGACCTCTTGCATTTCCCCAGTCTCTATCGGCCTGTCTTTGCCCGTATCTGCAGAAGCCTGTGATGCACTTGCTACACTTTGCAGTCCCTTCTCATCCATCTCTGTCTCACTAAGGTCTGACTTTTCTTTCGAGACCGTGGGCCCCAACCTCTCTTCAGATGCTGACTCCCTCCTAACCTCCGTCATCATCTCTGGCCTCTCTTCAGACACAGACTGGACCTCTGCCATCATTGCCTCACTAGATTCAGCCACAGTTTTCCCTTTGGCCTCCTGCAGTTCCTCAGCCTCCCCTGGACCATCTTTCCCCAGGTCTGCCAGAGCCTGCGATGGACTTGTTAAGCTGCGCGGGCCCTTCGCGTCCATCTCCTCTTGACTTACTTCTGATTTCTCTTTCAACACCATCTTTCCTACGGCCTCTGGCCGCCAGTACTCAGACTCAAACTTCGGGTCCCCCATTCTAGGCTTTAGCGTGTTTCTTCCCAGGAGCTCTATTCTTTTCCCAATCACAATGAGCCCATTCCAGGGCATCCATAGTTTCTCCTTCTCTCGCTGCACCTGCGCTCCCTTGCAAGGCGGCTCTGGCGGCCAACGCCTGCGGGCGGCGGTGCGGCCCGGGGAGCCCTGGCCGCGAGCCTTGCTGCGCCCCTTCGCACCCTTAAACGGCTTACCCCGGAGCTCCCGCGCAGCCCAGGGTGGAAACTTCAACGGAATTCCTGTCGCCAAATATATTGTCGTCTGCTCTTGCCCCCAACCCGACAACCCCATTCCTGCTCCCCATTCCCCCAACCCCCCCACCCCCCTCTCACCCCCCCCCCAACCCCCCCACCCCCCTCTCACCCACCCTCGACCTCCCCCTGCTGGCCGCCACCCCGCCCACCGCTTGGAAGGTGGGAGGTGGACTTACTGCGCACGCGCGGGCCGGCCGCATGGCCGTTGGGAGGCGGGATCCTAAGCTTCTTCATCGGTGGACCCACCTGCAGGGAGAGGTCCAGCGAGGACGACACATGACCTGATGACCCTAAATCCCGGACCAACAGCCCACACATCCTCACGTATCCCCTGCTAGTTTTAGTTGAGCTCTTCTTTAAAAGCTGTCCCCGGACACAGGAACAGCAGGCGTTCCAGCCAGTAGCGTTGCGCAGGGTAGACCTAGTAGCCAATCAGAAAGCGAGGCTGGAGCGGCCTAGGTGGGAACTACTTCTGGCTCCCTAGCAGGGAGCGGAGAGAGTGGCCGTCTGTTGCTAAAGATCCTGTGGGGGTACTGACCACACGCGCATGGCCTTGTGTGCTTGCTGTATCACAGCGTGATGGAAGAGCACCAGGAGACTGGGGAGGAGAGTAAGGTAAAGCGAGGAAAGAGATGCAAATCCCTTCTATCTCACTTCCGAATAGCCACTGATTGTCTGGTCCGGACGGAGAGGGAAGGATGGGGCGCCCCTGAGCCACCTACCCGCAGACTGGTGAAGATGCCAACAGAGGCAGATGGAAAAGGAGCCTTCCCTGTCACGCCTCTCCCCAGCACCGACTCACTGATTTAATGTGGAGGAAGAGGAAGGCAGGATGTTAGGAATTGAGAAGGGACTGGCCTCCTCTTTTTCCAAAGTGAGGGAATCCTGTTCAGCACTTAGGACTTCATTGGTATCTTAGTTACTTTTCCCGTTGCTGGAAGATACCGAAAGTTAAAGGAGAAAGTTTTTCTCCAAAGTTAAAGGAGAAAGGTTTATTTAGCTCACAGTCTGTGTAGGTTTCAGTCCATCATCAGCTGGCTGCAAGGCTGGGTGACATCACAAAGGCATTGCAGAAAAACAGTTCATAGTGGGCAGAAGGCAGCAAAGCAAATAAGGGACAGCCACAGCTTTTTCTGACCTTTGTGTCTTATCCAGGTACTTAGAGCAGACAGCACTGACAGCCTTAATCCTTGTGCCCTTCATTGTAGCATCGCGCCAGGAATCAATCCCAGCATCACACAGTCTAGATTCAGCAACCTCAAAAAGTCCCAGCTATGACTGTTTGAGGCTCTTGTTTTTTGGGAGAGGACATCTAGACATAAGGCACAACAATCAGTGTATCCATGTTCATATAGTCATAAAATCATTTATTCATTCTTCTTAATCTTTTTTTTTATTTTCCTTTCAACTTCACTCAACAAATGATGGTTGAACGTCTACATTGTGCCAGAGAGAGGTACACATTTTGGGGGCTGAGAATGAGAGGAAACAGGTATCGTTCATCCTGGAGATCCTGTCTCCCTCAAGCAGCATTGGAGCAGTGTAGGTCAGAGCAGAGATACTGAGACATCAGGAAGAAGCTGAGGTGTGCTGCACCCCTGAGCCGACCGCATGTAGGGGAGTGGTGAAAGGGACTGGATCACCTGCCTTGGGAGTGTCTGAGAAGCCAAGAATGGAAGAGGATCAAAGAAGAGTTTGGAGAAGCATAAGGGACTGAGAGATATAAAGCATAGAACACCAGGTGTCTACTTGAATTTTATTTGTTGAGATAGAGTCTCATTATGAAACCCAGGCCTAAACTCATGGTGATTCCCTCCTTCATGTGTTGGAATTACAGGCATATGCCATCACTCTCTGCTGCTTCAATTTTTATTTATGTTCATTTATACTCATGGTTAAAAATAGATAATACAATCAGTTGAATGTGGTGGCACATGCCTGTAATCCTAGCACTCAGAAGGCTGAAGTGGGAGGATCACTGTGAGTTCCAGGCTAGCCTGGGCTACATAGTTCAAGGCCAGCTTGAAGTACATAGTAAAGCCCTTTCTCAAAATCAAACAAACAGGACTGGGGATATATCTCGGCGGCACAGTGCTTGCTTGGCAAGTACAAGATCCTGAATTCGATTCCCAGTACCCTCCCCCACAAAAATAGATAATACATGGCTAAAGCAAATATATGGTATAATCTAAAACTACAGTAAGCGTTTGAACTTTTTAAAATGTATTACAGTAATCAGGCATGTTGGTGCCTGCCTGTAAACCCAGCACTCAGGAGATAAAGACAGGAGGATTCGCAAGAGTTCAAGGCCAACTTGTATTTATGTAGTAAAACTATCTGAAAAAAAATAAAATAAAAGATATATTGTTACTAGGGGCCGGGGAGATGGCTCAGTGGAATAATCGCTTCCCTGGCAAGCGCAAGGGCCTGAGTTCAATCCCCTGGTTCCGCAAAAAAAAAAAAAAAAAAAAAGATATATTGTTACTAATTCACTTCTAAATACTCTCCCACACCTCTAATACACAATAATGTTTTACTTCTTTTTTTATTTTTGGCGGAACCAGAAATTGAACTCAGACCCTTGTCAGGGAAGCACTTATTCCACTGAGCCATCTCCCCAGCCCCTCACAATAATGTTTTGTTTGTGTTTGTTTCTTTGAGATAGGATCTTACTATGTAGTTCAGGCTGGTCTTGAACTTGTAGTGGTTCTCCTGCCTCATCATCCTAAAATCATATAAAACTTGCCTTAAAGAGGCTTGAGGGCCGGGAAGATAGCTCAGTCAAATAAGTGCTTTCCTGGCAAGCACAAGGGTCTGAGTTCAATCCCCAGTTCCACCAAAAAAAAAGGCTTGGGATATAAGTCAGTGGTAGTGTCCCTGGGTTCAGTCCCTAGTACAAAAAACCTTTATTTTATTTTATTTTTTTATTTTTTGGCAGAACCAGGGATTGAACTCAGACCCTTGTGCTTGCCAGGGAAGTACTTATTCCACTGAGCCATCTCCCCGGCCCCTAAAAACTTTAATCAGGGGCTGGTGAGATGGCTCAGTGGTCTAAAGCACCTACTTAGAACAAGCTTAACAAAGCACAGGGACTGCGGTTTGATCCCCCAGCACCACATGCCAGCCTGCCCCGCCCCCTGGTGGGCTGAGCTGGCCACACACACATACACACACACACAAATAAATAAATGTTTAAAAAAAAAGAAAAAAAAATTTAATCAGTAAGAGATTTACAGGATTTGAAGGACATGACTAATCACTTGATCTAATTGATTTACCTAGAACTCATAGCCAACAGCAGCAGAAAACACATTTTTTTCAAGTGCACAAAAAACAACAACAAGACAATACAAATGCACACGAAACATTTACCAAGTTTTGTTATGTTGGGTTATAAAGAATTAACAGCCAGGTGTGATGATGTGGGCCAGTAATGCCAGTCCTCTGGAGGATTAAGACAAGAGAAGTGTAAGTATAACCTCAAATGGGCAATTTAGCAAGCCTCTATCTCAGAATAAAAAAAGAGATGAGGATTTAATTCAGTGTAGAGCACTCCTGGGTTTAACCAAAATATGCGAAGTCCTTGTACCTCTGGATTCAATCATCAATACTGCAAAGAAAAAAAAAATCAACAAATTTAAAAATTGGGTATGGTGGCACAACCTGTGCTCCCGGCACTTGAAAGGCTAAGACAAGAAGATTGCCTTGAATTTGAGGCCAGCCTGGCTACATCCAGTGGTCAATTCAAGGCCAGGCTGAACCTCACAGTGAGTACCTGTCTCAAAAACAAACAGGAGGGGCCGGGGAGATGGCTCAGTGGAATAAGTGCTTCCCTGGCAAGTGCAAGGGCCTGAGTTCAATCCCCGGTTCTGCAATTGGCAGCACATATACTAAAATTGGAATGATACAGAGAAGATTAGCATGGCCCCTGTGCAAGGATGACACATAAATTCGTGAAGCGTTCCATATTTTTTTGAGCTGTAGGGGACTCAGGTCAACAATTTCTGACATTGCCAGTCAAGCGGAAGACCCAATACTATTATGGGCTACTGGACTCTTTTAG